GGGGGGGAGAATAGGCGAAGGACAAGGAAAAGAAAATCGATCGTGTGTACCGGTCACTCGAGATTATCGGCGTCAGATATCGCGTTCTTCTTTACTTCCGATGTTGTTTCAATGCTGTTCGCGACAATTTCAAATTTCCACTCCATCCACCTACGTGTCTTCGTAATGGAACAAACATTGGAACAAACAGTGATATCATTCAACAGTTAAAGATCTCGACAATTCTTATACTCTTTTTACAATACAAAAGATTTTCAAGTTAAATATCTTTTCTTAAGATAGTTTGAACTGGATTTTTTTGTATAAAATCCAACCAACTTTTATATTAAATGCTGTTCAATTTACGTTGCAATTATTTTTCTCGAGATATTTTTCTTTATTTTTTTATTAATCTAAAAATGAACACATATACGTCCGCGGTACAACAGTTATGAAAACAGAAAGAGAGAGAGAGAGAGAGAAAGAAAGTTTTGTTTCTCGATGCAACGTAATTGGATTTGCAGAAAATAACGAGCCGGTAGGGTTGCATTTTGTGGTAGCGACCGTCGGACTGACTAAAGTTTTACGCCGCTGTCTGCTTCCCCTTTCGAGTCACGTAAGTGCACGTCCACGCGATTCCAGGGACTCGTTGTTCACCAGCCAGCAGCGGCTAACCGTCGGTGCCGTCGGGCGCTCAACGAACTAACAAACTTTTCGATCCACGGTTATGGTCAGCTAACGATCCAAGCTGTTCTAACAATTTTCGATGTTTTATTTTATTCCTTTATTTTCCTCGCGCACGAGACTTTACAATTGTGCGGAAATGTTTATTTTACTCGAAAAATATTGCAACATGAAAATGTCTCTTTATGGATATTTTATGTTACTTTCTGCCGAGAGAGAGAGAGAGAGAGAATGTTTGCTTTTTTTATTAATTAATTTTCGAGATATAAATTATGTTGCGTGCGCTTACAGAAAGCGCATGCATATCAGTTTAAAAATCAGGAGCTCGTGGCACAAAGTTAAATAATGAACTCGCAAGAGTTTGGTCGTCGACCTCTGATGCGTTCGGCGTTAAGAGTTGATTATATCATTAAGAATCGCACGAATCACCATAATGCGCGAATGCTAAGAAACACAAATCGATGCAATCTTTCGCTTCCGTGGGATTGCGTGAGCATTATTCAATTTCGAGAGAGACAGGTCTTTCTCTGTTGTTATTATGTCTGTAATTCTTGCAATATTTCATAAAGATTGTCTCCATTAATTTTTACGCCATATTAATATTTTTTAAAGCAATGCATAAATTAACATAGCATTAACATAATGTATATCAGATTACAAGAGTGGCTATTGATCTCGCTCCAAGTGATATGAAGTCAAGCGTTTTCGAACGAGCGAATTATTATTATTATTAGACTCACCCCATTAATTAGTTCTCGTTAAAAAGAGTCTTAAATCTTAAACAGCGGAAAAGTACATACAATTTTCTGCATCTCGATAATTCAATTCTCCCTCCCCTCTCTGATTTAATTAGTATCTATTTAAATCGGGGAGAGGAAAGGATGAGAATTGAATAATCGAGATGCAGAAAATTGTATGTACTCTTCCGCTGTGTAAAATTTAAGACTTTTTTTTTTAACGAGAACGAATTAATCGGGATGAATCTAATAAGTCGAACACTTACGTTATGATTGCTGCATTTTATCTTCCGAAAATCGAACGAAATATGGAGCAACCCGAATCCATAATATTTACACCGCTCAAGTTGATATTCTCGAAAATCCGAAGTCTAATTTATCTCGACGCGCGATCGGAAGTTTCATCCCGAATATTTTGTCGCGTTGCAAATAGCGTTCCATCAAATGTGGATACGGGTTTGCATTTACTCACCGTGTCGTTTCTGGTTGTCTGGGAGGAAAAAGAGACTCAATTTGGTTACTCGGGTTCCATTATAGGACAGCTCTCGGAATTGGAACAGAACGAAATGAATTAAATGGAAGAGAGGGCGAACGGTCAGAAAGAGGTACGCGCACCCTTCGAACCTCTCAGGCAGCAGTCACGAATGTACAATGTCATCGGGTGCACTCTCGGGGCTTGCAATAATGGAAGACCCGAAAATAATGGCCACCGCGAACACAGAAAGAACAAGAGTGTATGTGTGTCGTAGTTCACGTCCTTCATGAGGAGGTGTTAACGAGACGCTAAAGCCCCGAGCGGCACCCTCGGACATACAAACACGAACGTTTTTGTTTTACTGACGTCATCAGAATATATTTTAACAAGTTCTTTTTTTATGCCGGATTAATGAATCACGGAGTACGAGTAAAATAAGGCATAATTGATTTATTGCTAACCGAACTTATCGTCACTTTGTTGATATTATACAAGACAAGAAGAACGAACTGAGAAGAATGAGCGAGTTTAGCGCTTTGGGATATCTTGCATGCGGTAAACTTTACTCAAGATAAATGGTCTCGAAGAATAGGGAGGAAGTATGAATGGTGAAGACAGAGTACAAGGTGCCGGCGCTCGTTCGAGGTTTTTCTTCACGAGCACACACGTAAATATAACCGTCATAGAGTGCAACACGCGAATTGCCCGGGTCTTGAGCATGTTCAACAACGAGAACAAAGAAGGATCGATATCCACGACGCCGGGGGCTGATGGCGGTGGTGGATGGCGGTGGTAGTGGTGGTGGTGGTGGTACTACGTTTCGTGTTTCGTTTCTCATTTCCGCGGAGGACAATGCTCCCGAACGATGCAAGGATCGAACGGTCGATATACGGCAGCGATTTTAGCGACGCGGAAACCGCCTACGACGTTAGTTCGTTGCATCGATTCGCGAAGTGTATGAACGACGCGATAACCGCGAGGCAGTTCCGTTTCTTCGTCGACGACTGACGAAGAAAACTACGCGTGAATATTAAGAAATTTACGGAACACGTCGACAAATTTCGAGATAGAGATTCTTCGTCGATCAGACATCAGACAATTAAATTTATGAATTCTTAAATGATCTGCAAAAATTTAAGATGCGAAATATCTATCGGTCATAGAGAGAAAAGGCTAATGTAAAATCATAAGATTAATAAATATTAAAATTCAAAAGTAGACAGCACCGAATTTAATTCCGTCGATGAAAAGTCGTCTCTAACCCGAAAAGTTCTAGAATCTAGATGACAGCGGATGAAAGGAAATGCACGGAAACTTGATACGTGCTGTATATGTATAACCATGAGAGAACATAGCTGGTAACGATACTCGAGGGAGCTTCTTCCTCGCGAGAGACGAGGAACCGCGCGGGCACGGTCGAACGTGCTGAAGCGTAGACTGCGAAGAGCCGCCTTACACCTTCCCACGTAACGTGGTCTTTCAAGACTAGGGTCATCTATAACCCTGGCCATTGGATTCTTATCGACCTGCCCGTCGTACTGAATTTTTCAGCGTACATGCCGGGTTGATTGACCGCCGGCCCGATCCCACGGAGTCTACGTCGTTCGTGATTCTACGACTTACCGTATTTTCGACCCTGTCGAGTCTCCTCGACGTCTCTCTCTCCCTCGAGAAAGAAAGAGAGAAAGGGAATCCTCCCCTCCATTTCAAAGGAGAACGTGCCACTCTTTCGCTTTCCACGCGCTTTATTACATTCGCTTATTGTTCATGCGAAACTGTATTCCGAAATCGAACAATGCAGTTTAATAGGTAGGTACGCGATCGTGAAAGGTCACGGTGCTATCTTCCAGATGAGTCAGGGAATGTTTCTGCCGTACATAAATCATCCTATCGATCTTGAAATTACATTCCGCGTCCACTGAATATGTTATATTGTTCTGTCTACAGTTCGTTTAACTGTTGTTGTTTCGTTGTATATAGATACTCCGGTATTCCGCATTTCCTGTGCTAACGGAATTAACTTTTTCGAAATCACCGGCACATTATATCTTTAAAAGAATTAACTAACTACCACCATAACTACCAATAGAATTTAATGAAGAGCTGTTCACCGATTTCAGAAGTCTCCCGCGAGGTATTCGAAAGTTACTTCCGCAAAGGGACAAGGAAAGCTATCCTAGTCTAATGAGCGTTAAAAACGGAATTTTCTCGGTGACGTGCGGCAATTTAGCTGTCCCGAGACAAGTTCGGCCGGCAAGTTCCACGAAGTTGAACGAGTTTCGCGGAAGCCGTGCTTTTCTCGAGAGCGCGAGCTATGGACATCTGCGAGAGATAGACGGAATCTTTTAACGTTACACGAAGACAAACTCACGGTACACTAATTTAGTCATAAATAAATCTTTGAAAGCGCAAGAAGACAGTCGAGAGGACCGCGACGTTTCACAATTCGCGTAGAATGGCGCAGAATAAAAGCAATCCAAAGCGACTCGCGTTCGTTCCGCTTAAATATTTCCAACTTCCAACATGCGCCTAGTTTTTTTTCCATTGGTATTCTCCGCAAGCTGTCACTTGTAATTTTTAATATGAGCACGTGCTCCCCCTTATTCGAAGGGCACATGGTTTCTGAGATTTTCTCATCGATTACCTCGGATGGAAAATAATAAAATTCTTTGGCCTTGAAATTTGCATATCTCGAAGGCGGAGTGCATTGGAAATAGCACGAAAATTGCGAGTTGCTCTCTCGATTATTAGCGTTCTTATTCCGACATTTTGTTTTACGCAATTCCATACTTTTTCTACGTCAAATAAAATCGCCGTTCTTAAAAGGTATATAGATATAATATTTTAATACAGTCAATTAAAAACAAACATTCATTCGAGCTATATTGACATTGTCAATACACTGGAGCTTGCACATAACTTTTCACGCTTTCATAAAAGATACCATATATATAAAAGGTACAACATTAATAATTTTACAAGTCGACTCTCGTTAAATACATGTTCCTGCAAAAATCTGGACTCGTTCCCAACATATCATTTATCTTGTAAAAGTATTCTGCAAGTCACGTTCCGCTGTTGCAAAGTTTCGGTCACGTATTTCACCTGTATTACGAACGTAACAACTGTATAGTCATGTTATGTGACCATTACTTGTATATCATTGACAATTAAAGTCTCGAGTCGGAGCGATAAATATGTAAACAATGCGCTGCTATCTGGCACGAGATCGCGGTGTTTGACATTAAAACAGTGTGCTCGGCACAAGTTGTTTTCCCTTCAACTTATCGCAATTCAATTCAGGCTTTTCGACATCGTCGCTACACCAAACCACATTCCATCACGGAACTTGTTTGTTTGTTATTCCGGAAGAAAAGGTACTTCCATTGTCACCTTAGTAATCCTCCAAAGAAAAAAAAATAACGCTAATTGAGGCGACAAATCGTTTACAGAGAATACTGAAAGGTGACAGGAATACAGAAACTTTCCTCGCGAACATACAGTGTAAGAATTTAAAAAAAATTTCTTATATTCTTCCAGTATCAAGCTTTATCCTGGCAGACAATTATCCTGGCAGAAGCGATTATCATGGAATCATCATGGAAATCTCTTTCGCTTCTTAATCTGGTTCATCCAAATCAAGATTGCCGCGAGTCTCATTTGTTATGTCTGTGACTTGTCAAATTACTGGCGAACGGCGATTGTGGGTTGGTGCTTAAGTAAAATTTTCCCCGAGTCTTGGAATTACACGCGTAACCCATGTGGGCCTCGGGTTTCCACGCGCAGTTCGCCAGAATCCCGGGTCGCCATTTTGGGCATCGACTCGCGGGAAATCCGTAGGGATTCTCCACTGATTCCGCGTAATAACGCCAGGCTCGGTTGTGTCCGCAAGTAACTGAACAAAAAATGACAATAGATATTTAGTCACATTTTTGACGAGGATAAAAGACATACAACATATGATAACAGACATTTATTGTTAGTCAAACTTTTGACGAGGATATAGATGTTACGCAGAGGCGATACCTGAAAGAGGGTATGAAGTATCTTTTCCGAGAAAGGGAAGAGAAGATCTTTCAACAACGGATGAGAGCGCGCGGTTCGACATTGTAACGAGTCACTCACTGTATTGATTTATGAGTTTCCTGAAGCCCATGCGAACGATGCGAGCGATGCTCTTCAAATCGCAGCCGGGCTGCCGTCTCACGCCGCCGTTCGGATAAAAATCGACGTGACCCAGTGGATGAGGGAACCCGAAGTTGCCGCCGTCCGTGTGAATGACGTCGACGAAGACTGCGTCCGCCCATGTCAAGTGACCGTCCTCCCCGGTGTCCATGTACAACGGATAAGCCGGGTCCAATCCGGTGATTCTACCTATCTAAAAGCGCGTTTCTCAAATATAACACGCACACACGTACACACGCGTACACTTAGCATAGAGTCTGTCGGTCGCGTCGATATCGCGCGCCACGATTGAAACTCCTGGCACTAATGCAGTTCCGATAATGCGGCCTTCGATTAGTCGAGGCGAACGTGCAATGCGGTGTAACTGTGGTGTGAGCGTTATTAGCAGATCGTACGATATCTAACCTTTCGAGGTGCCAGTGCCTTCCCCATAAAGCCAGCAACTTCCGCGCCCAGGCTAAAGCCGATCACATGAATTTTGGATAGGCTGACAGCTTTCTGCGCGTCGAGCCAACTTATCATGTGCGCTAAGTAAGGTCCCACGACTTTGGCGTTTCTCACTGCAGATATGTACCACGGTAAGACCGCCAGTTTAGGCCAATGTATCAATATCACGTTATAGTGCCCACGACGGAGATAAGCTAAAACAGAGGATGCAATTGGATTCATTCAAATTATAATTAATTTTTTAATTCAAAGTTATATGTCAAACTTTTGATATAAATTATTGAAAATTACTGTAAAAACAAAAATTTTAAAGTATTAAACACTTCATACACATGATTAAAAAAGTATGAAAAAATCATCATTAAATCGTCAATTACTTCACTTAATAACTTGACAATGATAAATCGCATTTGTTTAAAAGAAAAAAAAAAGTAAAAATCACAGAAGCAGCAAGCAGAATTCTTCTTTTTCAAACAAACAAATAAACAACGGCGGCTCCTTTGGGGTCGCGTTGAAAGTTGAATTGGATCGATTTGTGCGCCGAAGAGTGAAGGAAAACTTCGCAATTTATTGTGACAAGTTATGGTGTCCACTATTCGTCATCCTGACAGTACCTCTCTAGAGGTTTAGCAAGATAGATCCGTAGATCATGTAGTTACTAATGGATCTAGCTTACTCGCGAACTTTACGAGCGGAAAGAAAAACGAAGGCATCGCGATGACTTTTAAGAAGCTATTTTCGCATTCAGAGCGATACATCGCTATATGGTATCACGCGCCTACCGAAAAGGTGGCTGGAAATGCCCTCTCATACATTTGTTATCATCGAAGTGAAACGAGTTAAAATTTATTTTTCAAAAGCTTTTCAGAGATTCTTGAAACTTTTTCCGTGCGTGACGCGCTGTCGAGTTTGCACAAAACTCTATCCTCTTTGTGCATTTACGTGAATGCCCTTTTCCACAAAATGATAAACCTCGTATACGATATGGGTTATCGGTTTTAGATATTTATAAAGTACGTACCATTTCGTATACTAATGGGACCTGTTCCCGAGCTACTATCGCTGTATCCGTGAATGTAAATGATAGTTGGGTGCTTAACGTTGAAATTACTCTTCCGCAGCGTTGTGGCATCATTAAAATCCAATACATTCGGATACGTTGGATTCCGCCTGTCGTGGATCAATGCGAAAAAACGCAAGAAAAATATCGCTATGATGAGCAAAATTCGTGGAATTTAATACGATCGATGCCGGACACGTTGATTTGCAGATTATCGGAAAACTAATCTTCATTTCTGGTTTATGATTAATTAATCGGACTCTAACAGCTTACTTTCTGACGAGCTGACAGATTATAACAAAATTTCCGCTAATTGTTATTAATTTCCGCTTAATATTCTCAGTCTTAATTGTACTGTCTTAATTGTATGGTAAGAAAATTACGTTCTATTGAAGCGTTTGGTGTACATTATTGCGTGACGGCGGTTCCGATTCATGTACAACGCGTATACCTGGTATACAATAGAAATTGGACGTCCCGATTCAACTGGATGGGGCAGCAATAGAAGCACGTACCGGTGGGAAGCAGCGTCAGATACAGTGTAGTGTCTCCTGTAACAAAGGTGAAGAGATAATACCTTTAACAGAAATCCGAACTAATCAATTTTAATCTCGCGATCGTACACTCATTACAGAAATTTAGTACTGAAAGATAGTGATTAATTAATTATTTTGAATATGAAAAGCACCGAACGACGGTGCCTTTAATACTCGAAATAACTAATTTCTAGCATTAAATTAGCCAGTATTAAATTAGACTTCTGTAAAAGTATAACGACGTAATATATGAGACTTCGAGTCGTAGAATTGCAAATCGCAAATATTAATTCCAGCTCATGTCCGGTCGGTGATATTTTTAATCTCCAATTGACTCAAGCCAGGTTCAAAAATCCATTTGACGGATATCGCGACCGGCACGTAATGTGCTTCGAATGGCCATTATCGGTTCGAACCCTCCGCGCGTTCTGTCTTCCGTATTAAATTGTGCATAATGCCAACGACGGTCGGCCTCGACCAATCGCCGCGGTCGTCGTCATTGAACCTGACGACGGTCACGTTATGTCGCGTGTTGTACCGCCGACAGAGATCGACGGCGCGCGATACCCAGCCCTCTATCGAGGTATCCCTTTAGTTCTCCGCGTCGCGCAAAAGGTTTCCGAGGCGGAACACGACCCCGCGCGGAAACGCTGCTCGATTTCGCGGACACGCGATAGCACTTACATTTATCTAAAGGGTAAATATTTTTCTCAAAGCCATGTTAATTTCCGACACCTTTGATCTATTTAGGGTATCCTTTTTTTATTTTGTAACTGTATTTTTTACTAAGGTCACTAAGGAGAACTATCGTCTAACGTCTTCGTCGTTTTCGATCGATTAAAGTTTTAATAATCTAGAACGTTTCTGATTAAATTTTCTGATTAAACTATTGTGTTTAAATGCATTAATCGTCGAAGAATGGACGTCATATAACTTCCAGAAATAAACTCACGAACGAACATGCCAAATTATCTTATATCTATATCCCGTCGTTTGGTAGCGTATATCGACGCGACAACGCCAAGAAAAACGCAAGAATAGGTAATTCGCCGTTCCTTCTACTTGGGCAAACGCACGTGATGCCGTGCTCCGTCGTAATTAAGCTCGCACGGAAAGCGTTAAGTGGCTGTCGAGTTTGCTCGCCCGGTTTGCAACCCCTTAAACCTTACACTCTGTCGGCGAGAGAACGACAGCGCGCGTCGAAAGTGAACGACTCTTCCGACGGAAATCCGTCGGAACAACAGTTTTAATTATTTCACGCAAACAAACGCAAACAAAAAACAAACACGTTTCCCGAGTACCCGCGCCCGTCGAAAAATAAAAACGATATTCGAAACGGAAGCATCGTTACCACTCGACAGCTGCAGATGTCAAATTCGCAGAAATGTTTAACGTATGGTACTTGCTGGTTTGCAAAACCGTGTAACGCGCTTAAACGATAAAGGCAGAACGAAACAATTTTTACGATTAGTGAAAGCCTCTAAATATAATTTACGACTCGGCGAGCTCGGGGATTTATTTCACGATTGCGTAACGGGATAATTAAACACATTTTCGAGTAGCCCCTCGAGAAATAGGTCGCCGTTTACACTTTCGCCACGATACCTATTCAACAATGGGCTTTTTCACGCCCGGCCGCCTCTCGCTCGGAGCATTCCACCGCAGAAAACAATCCGTGACGGATGACGGTTATATCAACGCCGGATTAACGATACCACCGCGGAGATCTGTTTCGCAGAAGAAACTTTTGTGATCGGAGAAACGTTATCTTTTCCAGCAAACCGTTAGCAGGTGAGAGGAGAGTAAACGGGATAAATATAAAGAGATTGGACTTTCGCAGTTTTGTCGGTCATCGCCTTGCACACAACCGTTATGGCCAAACGTCCGCCTTTTTATTTTCGATATAATTGACATTACCATGCGGCAACCGCGCGCGCGCCTCCGCGATTTGCACCGGTTTGATGACGCTGCATCAAGGCTGCATTTTTCGCGGCGCTATTCTTCGAACTGGGAATGCTTGCGGTATCGTCGGAAACGAGGAATACAATATTATTCCAGCGTGATAATCGCGAAGAAAGAGAGAGAGAAAGAGAGCGAGAGAGGGGGAAAGAGCCATTTCACGCAAAATGTCGTGCAGCTTTCACAATTATCTAGTTTAAGACTCCTTCACGAATGAAATTTCGCGGTGCGTCACATTGAATTTATTAAGTTTAAGAGGTCACCGCATCTGGTCGTCAACACGACGACCTTTTAACTTTAACGTGAAAGTAACGCACGTCCTCGATTCTCGCACCAGTTACACCGGACGCGGACTCGCGACCGGCCGCGGCGTAGGAAAAAAAAAGGGCCGCCGCGCGCTTTAATTCCGCTTGTGGAAAGCTCGACTTATTTCGAGTAAGCATGCCACGTGGCGTGTGCCGCGCCGTATCAGAAACTTATCGTACCGTATAGCTAAGCGCTAAAACGCGTGAATGTATTTTCCGCGCGCAGAATGCGTTACGCGTCCTGATTACCTGATTTCAAATTATATCGGGGCACTTCTCGAGCGGATCTGCGTTCCGGTTGGACGAGAAGCGACGCACACGAACGTCGCGTGTGTATACGGCGACGTGCCGGCTCTATTTACAATTAAAATATCTAACTAACTGGCTGACTGACTGACTGACTGACTGACTGACTGTGAGATAAGACCTGACGAGAGCGAGAACGGGGTCTAAAATGTTCAACACAGTCGATTATTCGCTTATGCAATCTGACACACGTACACGCTGCGAAAACGAATGCTCCCGTTACGCGCTTTCGGACGCCGGCCTGTTTGCCAAATTCGTTTCTTGTTTAACGAATCATCCATCATCGCTAATTGCCGCCGGGGGTTCAGCTATATTTGCAGCACTTTTATTACTCGTTAGCCTCGTTAGTATAAATCATGTCGGCGTACGTAACGTCGCCTATTATTAATGAAACGGAATTGCACTTAACATGATCACGTGCAGCGCCGACTGCATGGAAAATTCACGCGGGTAATTTGTATGATCTGGTTTTGATCCGACCCTAATAGTTAACACTGATTTTTTTTATATGTAGGTACATTCAAACACTGTGCTTCTTATATCTAACTGTCACTCGATCGTATCTTCTTCTAACGGAGTTATAATTGCACGTTTCAATAATTACTCTAAATTATGTATATAAAACATAATTATATATAAACGTATTACATAATAAAGTAGTTAATGCTCGCACAAGATCGTCAAATATAATTATTGCGCGTAGTTATTGAAATATGCACGTTTCATTTACGCATCTCGTGAAATATAACCGGCACTCGCGGAAATGAAAAGAAAATGTCGGGTAATTTTTCACTGGTCGCAATTTACCTCTTCGAACGATATACAAATGACAGAGCATTGGCACGAGAAAAGATGGGAGCATTGTCGAGAGCCTCCCGAAAGTCTCGTACTGCGCGCTGCACTGGAGCCTTTTACTCCGTTGAATCGTCTTACACCCGCGTCGAGAGGAAACTGGTGGGAAATCAGCAGCAGCTGATCGTTTTGTAGCGCTCCCATACCATCATCTCGCGTGAGCATTACGATCTACTTCTCTCCGGTTTTTGTAATGCAGACCGGCGATGCAGTAACATTGCCGGGCATAAATTGCTGTATTACGAAATTATTATTATTATTACGTTTCCGGTGTTCGTGAAACTTTACACGCCGTTGAGTTGAGAAAAAAAGTACATTTTTTATTTGTGAGAACGCTGTTCTTATTTAGAGACTAATAATCTAGCTTTCATCATGCAAACATTGTGCATTGAAATATGTTCGTTCTGAAGACATATTATCGAGCCGAGTACGTGTCCACATTATCGACTCGAAACTTGTGAAGAAGTTCATCTCGAAACTTGTCTCTTGCCTTGAGGTTTAGCTCCATAATGTGGATTTACTTTAATTGGACGTTTCCTTCCTGAGGAAAATTAAACTAAACCTAAACTAAGCTAAACTAGTTCGCTATATTGTTAATAATGTGGAAATAAAGTTAACGTTGTACCCCTATTATTGCTTGTCTTTGGCCTGTTTAATATATTGTTACATTGTTTTACAATAACGAATGAGTAATTGATTTTAGTTTTAAACTAAACCTATTTAATATCTCTATAAAAAAATATTTATTCTTTTTTTTTTTCAGGACAAATTGCTGACGAAACTAGAGGAGAACGAACCAGAGTTGGCATCTTCACAGGAAGATGAGGTAAGAAGCGAATTGAAAGTAAGAATACAGGTTTTCCTTAGAGCGATATTTACAAGCATTATGAGCCGCCTAATCGAGCATTCCGAAATGAAATCGAATAGCGAAATTTCTCTTTCTGATCACTCGAGGTTGTCACGGATATAATTATTAAAAAAAAAAAACTATAGTACTCGCTATAGCACTTTTCGCCTCGATCGATATCGCTATTTCTTCCTGTTGGTTCCCTTTATTCTCTTAATTTAATTCAATTTAATTTAATCTTATTTTATTATGCACCTACAGTTATATTGAGTACGTAAAGTATATGAATACACAAATGGTTAGGCATCAGTAATGCTGCTGCTATAAGGCCTATCAGAGGAATAAAAACTTAGATCCGTATTCAGAACGCGTTGACAACGATGTTATTGGAGCGCTAACATATTATAACTTACGTTACGTAAGTATATTATAAAATTTCAGAGATAAAAGTGCGCATTTATCGATAAAAACGCGTTCTGAATACGGACCATAATATTAATTGAATAAGATACGCTTAACTGCACTTAATTAAGAATATTTGCATACTTGCATTAAAGGAATGCAATGCATTTGCACGAAGACAAGAAAAAAATTTAGATTCTCTAATTTTAACACTATGTAGGTTATCGTGAAATATTACTCGCGTGACATTTAAGACAGTCATTGTAAATTTAACTCGTAATTTGACATATATTATTTGCGAATAAATGAAATCTCTTTCCAATTATAAATAGGAGATATATATTTTTTTAGTGATTACATCAAAGTCTCCACGCCTACGTAAACATAAATCGAAGTTGGTCAATGAAAAGGAGCATAGTGGAAATTACATTTGCTGTAACGCCCACGTAGATTAAATTGTGTGTACATTAAATTGAAGTCATGCTTTTAACTTTGAAACTTTTATAATATTCGTCTATTTGGAAAATGTCACATTAGTATTCAATATAAAAATATAAAAAGTATATAAAATATAAAATAAGTAAATATACAAAAATATACAAATACGATTTAAATTTTTGCTGGATATTAATCTGAAAATAAATTTTGTTGAAAAAATGTTGATAATGCTATCAGCTAGCAAATTTTGATATTCTTGCAGTTGAGTTTACAACTTTTATATATACAGCATAATATTTTTGATAGTTCATAACAAAATTTCTTTTCAAACTTGTATGCAAAATTAGATCTTTCTGCAAAACACGTTCTTTCCGTGTATTTAAAAAATGTGCCCGCGCGCTTCTCTTCAAAAAATCTATTAAATTATCAAATTTGATAGAATATCAAATTAAAATAAACTTGGTTTACTTATTCATATTGCGTACTTAAATCCTGCATTTTACTTATCGTCCCTCATTTATCGAATTATTGTTTTTTAAAAATTGAGAGTTCCATTAATGTTTGTTTGACAGAATGTATCGTAGTCTATATTAGTGATATGTAAACATTACACGGTTCTGTAGAATACTGAAGAAGTCGCGTGTCTACTTGGTTCGTTGCGTTGCGTTACGCTAGATCGAGCCATTAAACTTTCACGATGAAGAAAATGACGATAACAGAGTACCTGTATCGCGCAAAATATAGCCGGCCGTCCGGAAAAGTCGCAATTTCCGAACGAATTGGTCGCCCAATCGGTCGCAAAAGTCGATTAACGACGACGACAAAGTGGCGGTTGCAACCCTCCGATTCCTGACGTGTTCGCCCACCCTCCCGGCTCCGAGGCTATTAATATTTCGATTAAAGTGCGACGCCTAATTACGTTACGTCGATTATGGCAGCCAATCGCGACCGTCTCGAACGCTAAACAACGACCGTGTTACACCGCGCGTCCTGGGATTTAATGACATTACACGTGCAAGCGCATAAAAACTGTGCAAACAAAATAAGAGTTACGGCTGCCCGTGATGAACGTGAATAAAAGCGATCTCTTCTCTCTTTTTTTTTTTTGCTCCTTCACAATTTTTCCCAATCCGTCGATAGCCAGTATTATATAGGTATACATACGTGCGATTACCAATAACGATCCGTTCGATATTGTCGCACGCGTCCGACGAATACGCCACGTAATTTCTTTTTTTTTTTCTTTCCAGTGCGTCATATGCGTGAATGCGAGGGCGACGATGCAAACCGCGCCATGTGGGCATCGAGTGGTCTGCAGGTGAGCGAACGAACTTTAAAGTAAGCGCACACAGATTTCCGCGTTACTCTGCAATTTCTGCAAATGCGCGCCGTTTCCTTTTATCTCAGGAAACTCGAGAGCTCGAAATAAGCAGTAATTACTTTTCACGTCAGCGCCGCGGCGTCACAATCTATATATTTTGCACGTTGAAAGAAGCCGTTTCCTTTAATTACGACGTCTCGGCGTTCGTTTACGCTAAGCTTCACACACCCGTCCCCCGTCGTTTTGCAGACGCTGCTTCGTCAAGACGATACAAATGGCGGTGTCCCAGAGGCTCTTGCCGCTGAGATGCGTTATCTGCCGAGCGAAGATCCTACGGTTGAAGCAGACTCTCATTCCGCGTGATGTAAGTGACGATAGCGCCCGTTTCGCCTCACAAACGGGATTTACTCGCATTCAGAGATGCACGCGCGTCCCAATTACTCGTCCCTCGTTTACATACACTTACTTTACCGTTTTAAAAATTTCTCGCTTGAATTTAAATCTACACAGTCTCTCTTTCTCTTCGTGTTTTCCATGCGCTTTATTCGCGTGCGAATCAATAAATTTCATTTGCCCACTGACGCGATCGCGACGAAATCGCTGCCAATTGGAGCGGATTCTCAAAGCCGGCCGATGTGTGGCGAATTTGTGTAACAGTTAGGATGCCTTGTATTCAAAGACAATCTTCATCAATCGAAATCGCTGAAAATATTGTGCTCTACATTCCTCTTCAGATGCCATTCGCGATGCGCGTTCCATCCTTTACGTACGATTAACCGTCAAAAGTGCTCGATGGCGTGCTGCTAATTATTTATTTAACATAAAAGTAGATTGTACGCGCGAAAAAAAATGCAAGTTAGATGAATTTTCACTTCCGGTACATTATAATAATTTAAGCCAATATCATTTCTCGTTCTGTCAACAATGACCTTACACGCCCGTTATTGTAACAGTTCCAGATTATATTTTGCTTGGAGAAATGCGAATCGATTATGCACTGTGAGATTATTTTGGCTTATAGTATTCGATGTCGGGTAAATCCTGGGTACTCCCCCAAAGCGCGTCGGAGTACAACATGGGCACAGGCATTACCGCCGGCGTGTCCGGTCCCGGCGGCAGATGGGGAGCCGGAAGCGTGCCAGCCTCTGCCTCTTTATACTCAATGGCCAGCGGTTCGTCCTCCATTTCTGGTTCGTAATTAAGCTTTGAAAATTGCTAATTGTATATACAATCTACTGTGGGAGGATGGGGTGGGGGGGAGGGGTGTGTTAAGTTTGCTACAAAGTTTCGCATCTGTGAATTCACTTCGCGTAGGAGTGTCTTCCGTCTCTTCGGCAACTTCCTCGTCCGCGCATAGCACCGGAAGTTCCTCTCTCGGCAAACCGACGAGGGTACGGCAACCTATAGGCGCCACTCTCCGACGTTCCCAGACGCAATCGATGAAGATGCGAATTCAGGTTAGCATGAGCCTATCATAACATTCGACGTAAAGTACATCTCGTATTCTCGATCTAAAAGTAAACATAGCGAATTCTAATTCCGCAAATGTAGCATGTCTTAAAATAGACTGTTTAAAATGAGTACGAGTTGGTATATACACGATCATTTATCAAAATTTATAGGAATACCAGGATCCGATTCAACAAATCACCGAAGAGGAAGAGATCATGCGGGAGAATCGAGAACGCCGATTGCCGCCAATCAAAGAATTCCAGAGGGACTACCGTGCTGGCAAGGCCTCCACCAGAATCAGGTATATCTTTACGATCGTCAATTTTATTTAGCAATCAACCGGGAGATTCGTCAAGGGACGGGATTCGTGATGAACGCGTTGACGCGTTTGCAGATGCGCTCAGAAGATCGTGACGCAGCTGGAAACATCGCCGAGCCCAAGAGGCACGTCCGCCGTGACAACGTCGACGTCGTCGGCGTCGTCGTGCAGCCGCGCCGCCTCTAAGCGACCGGCGACGGCGCCGAAGAAAATATCGGTGGTCCAGGAGGTACAGAAGTCGAAGAAGGAGAAGGAGCGGGAGAAAGAGCGAGAGAAGGCGGAGAAGGCACGGCAGAAGGAGGAAGAGAAAGCGGAGAAGACCAGGCAAAAGGAGGCGAAGAAATTGGCGAAGGAAGAGAAGAAGAGAGCGAAGAAGGAAGCGAAGGCACGGCGAAAGGAGACCGAGGAGGCACCTCTCCTAAGGGACGAGAAGTAAGGTCTGACTGACTCGTATAAAAATCTCGAGAGAGATATCGAGACGTCGTCGTGATACAGGTATCCTAAAGAGTTGAAGTACTCCCTGGAAAAACAGTATCCATCATTTTTACGGAAAAAGTAACGTTTCAACGGAAAAACGTTGCGTGTGCATTGGTTAAACATGTGGCGAAACATATGGTAAAATTTAAAAAAAAGTGTTGAATGCAGTGTTCCTCCAGGGTGCCCTTCAGTTTTCGACAACTGACGACGCTTTTTTGGTATCTTGTATTTACGGAGGATCGATAATACATACGGGATGAGTTACGGACACTTCGTACAATTGCGACGACAAATTAAAGGAGGCAGAGCAAAAGGCTGAGACTGATGCCCTTTGAAAATTCCAGCATTCAGTTACTGACTAATGAACATGGCCTAGCGCGATAGCGGCTCTCCAAGAGGCGAAATTGGTGCAATTACAGAGAATCTGTTTGTTAATAAATCCAAGTGTATGATTTATTCACTGCTGAGCAAGTTACAACAGCTAACGCCCAGAAAATCGTTTCGAACAGTCCGTAACTCGTCCCGATTTCCTCGTCATCTTAAAAGATTAGGTTCGCAAGAGGGTGATGAGAGAAGACGTAATACCTAAAAATGAAAAAAAAAAATTCTAGAAGCGGCCAAACTTAGTAACCTGTCATATCGAGTTATCGCGGACTAATACTATTATCGATAGGAAAAAACTCGAATATAGCGCTACAATCTAGAACTTCAAGCGATTATTTCAACGTTATATCCCTTATTACTGCGTCCTTTATTTATTCCGAGATCATCCTCTATATTAACTTGTTTGAGTCATTCTGCCAAAATCTGCCATTTTATTTAGTCCGAAGTGATAACCCCTTAGAGTTAATAAAGACGATGCGCGCAAAACGTGATCTCTATTGATTATAATGAATATAATCATTGCAAAGGTATACTCAATTCATAGATCGATACTCACTTGCGCGACCAGCCATTCTCACCGCAGCGTTTAATCGCCGACTACTAAATTCGCAATAATCTACACAATCCCATTCCTCCAGTCAATTTAAACTAGTCATCATGTCTACGAAGTCAAGGAAGAAACACTCGGATTCTTTTACCCTGCAGCATCTTATCTCAACAGTGGAGAATCGCACTCGGGATAAAATGCTTGCAAAATGTAGACGGAATTTTTCTATTTTATTAGTAGCCTAGTAAGAAAAATTTATATGAATTTATATACTTTTAAATAGTATTATAATAAGTAAGAAAGGTTCATTTTTAGAATCCCAAGGAGGTCCAATATAAAGATCTATACTCATAGCTTCCTAAAGGTCAAAATATTGCGATTGAAGCAAGAAAAGACGCAAGCATTTTTTCCCGCTTTCGCATTTCTCCCGCATTAAACACCCCCTATCCCATCTCTGTCATATGTTGTAAATACACCCGCGCAGGATTTCATAAGCGGACGTCGAAGGACGACTTTCGCGCCGCGTCGCAAAAGTCGTACAAGCCGCGTACGACGAGGGTAGCCTAAATAAGATCGATTTGTTAAAAGAAATTGCGCGAGAGAGTATACCTAAACGTAACGAAATATAGAAGAGTCTTATATAGTACACAATATACACAATTTATAAATATATATTATATATTATAAATATAGGCAGAAGAGCAGAAAAATTTTTGGAACGCAGCGCGTGTCTCGTTACTGTTCGTAGGCTCGTAGAAAAAAAACTCCCGTTATCGATTATATACACACACCTTCGGTTCGAACTCTTCTCCCCCTCCTCCCCTCCCCCGCTCCCCTCCCACCCGCTCGACAATTCGTGAGCAACTATTAACTTATAAACGAGTGAAGCAATTAATTAATGAAATCGCTATACTGTATGGGGCGTATAGTAGATTTCTCGTATAGTGTTTCAACAGACGCAGATTACATGAGAGTTACGCGCTGACGAGCTTTAACGACAAAAACCCCTGTGTCGCCGACACACACACCCCACACACACACACACACATATATACGCGCGCGCGCGCGCGAACGCAACAATTCTTCGACTTTAGATTCCGCCCTTGATCTCGATTGACTATCCGCCTTGCAAGTCTCCCGTAAGCAGCCGAAAATCAAAAGAACAATTTTTTACAAAGTCTACACGTCAAAAACTGCAAGTCTCGATATCAAAAAAAAAAGAAAAAAAAGATCAGCGAGTAGGAAAATAGTCCGATGCGAGGATCTACCTTCGCAACAGGTAGACGACAACTAACGGCGACAGTAAAATTCAATGTTGTTATTTTCAGCGATCGCATTTTTAATAGCAATGACGGTTTGATAATGATGACAATACTTCTTTTGTAACCGAAAGAAAGCGGGCGAGAGTGAAATCTTTCGGGAACCACGAACTGTTTTACGATGCTATCACGTCAAAACAGGCGGGACGGATGAGAAAGTCTCAAATGCCATTTCTTGTCTATTTCATTGATTCGCTCTGTCGGAATCGAGCTCGATGCACAGTTGTAATACAGACAAAAATAAAGAGAATCAAACATTGGGCATATTTTAATAAGCTACGCGACATTAAATGCGATAGAATCGTAAGACACGAATCATATCTGCCTAAATTTCAGTATCTCAAATTGCGGTATTGAATAATTTAAATTATGCAACAGCTGTAGAACAACGTAAGTACAATTTATTCCCACAGGCTTTTGTCACGTCACGCGAGAGGACAAAAATTGTATTCAAAACGTTTAATTCTTTTGAAACTCATCAAAAAATGGTATGGTTCAACGATTTAGAAATCAGGTAGACGCAATATGAAAGTAGGAATCAGCATTGCCGAGAAAAACGAATGCCGGCCGTATTCGTATAAAGAATTGGAATTTTCAATGTAATGCTAAAAGCGATCGTGCACATATCAGTAGTAATTAGTCGATTTTAAATTAGCGTTTTCGTTTGAACCGCATTGCGCCGCTCCAAGACGACCCGAATTTCGCCCGCCTCCACCAGCGAGTGCCGGGCAGAGCGAAGTATAATTAAACATCATAAAATCATGAGCGACAATGAGGTTAATCCGAAATGCTACTAATTAGCGTGTAATATTAACCGTCAATTATTGTACTTGCTGCATCGATCCCAACTGCGACGAGCCCGACTCGTACGGCGTACTCAATAATCAAAAAAATAAGCTCACGAGCGATGCGGATTCTCCACTTACTGAGCACCGCGTAGGATCAAATCGAAAGAGAATATATGTATAAGAAGATGAAAATTTTAACAAATTGTAAAATTATAATTTTGTATTGATTTAACTTCTCTACATTGATGAAAAGGATCTGCAGTAGAAAGGAATTCGGGGAACTCGATGTTCTGTACAGGAAGATAGGATTTTTTTTAAAGCGAGACATAGGCAGGTGTATTCGAGGTTCGTCATTGTAAGAAGTCATTAGAACACTTAGAGTTTAGGAAGTTTTTCTTACTACAGCTCATGCGAAACGCGAGACTTTCTCGAATCCCGGCGGAAACAAAGGGAGTAGCTGCGAATGAGAAGCGCAATTAGCACGTGCATTTGGAATGCGAGAGTCGCGACGGGACAGCGCGAGGGTGTCTTCTACTACAGAGCAAAAGTCAATTTTATCGAGCGCACCGCGTACACGCAAATGTTGAATTCGTGGCCGACCTTCGTGGCAGCAAAATCGATACGATTCGATTTCCCAAAGTCACGCCAACAGGAAGGAAATGCTTATGTCCGCGATGAGATTCGTATCGGAATGAAAGCGCGGAAGCGAGAACGCGAGAGTTTCGTTAGACGTATCCTCGCGCAAAGCGCTCTCGAATCCCTTCGGTACAAGTGAATGTTGTTAATTTTGGCGAAAATACCTTCAACTATACCATAACTGAATTTGAAGAATGTATATTCTACTATGAATAAAAGCCAACTTGAAACCAACTTGATCTAAGTAAGTAAAATAACATAGTCTTGTGCAAATTTGGTGATACTCAGAAAATAATTATAAAATTACGTAAAATTATAAAGACAATCTTCATAATTTTACGAAGACATGAGTCTTCATAATTGCATGAAGACATGAGACTTCATAATTTTATAAATCACAAGTATAACATGAGTCAAAATTATAAAAAGATAAAAAAAATTGAAAGCAAATATTTACATATTTCTGAATATTTTTTATTACGAGATGCCTGTTCTAATATTTTATTTTATCAATTATAGTTGAGGGTTAATAATAAAATGGTAAAAGAAATGCGAAGAAGAGAAGATAGAGCGTAATCGTTGGCAATAATCTTCGAGCTAAGGAGGACAAAGACGAAGTTATAGACGAAAAAAGAAAAACAATTTGACCTGTGCGATAGTAAGAAACCGTATATCACAGCTAAACGTAACGAGAACGACTTCATTGTACTTTATTATTATATAAGGCAGAATTTGTAGACGAATTTATATTAGGCCGACATTGACACACGGCGAGCGTTGTCCTGCAAACAGGACGAGACCCAATTGTCGTTTCCATTCAACATTATGCTTAACGATTTCGAGATCTCGCGTTTTACTTCTTAGAGAAAATATCGGAGAATTTTTACTTTTAGTCGAAATTAGATGAAGCTGAACGCTGCCTTTCGTTCGAAAAACTAGCGGTACCATCTCGTTTCTCTTCCTAAATTTCTTTTGCAGCGACACAATTCTTCTTTCTTTTTTCGAAGCCACAAAACAAAATGTCACGCGTTCTGTAAAACCATGAGCGAAATCAAGGGGCGCGAGTTTTGCACAAAATCAAAATCGTTCCTGGTTGACGCACGCCGAGGACATTGGACGCGAGAGTAACGTAGAGTAACGTAAAATTTCACGACGATCTCACGCTCCTCGATTGATACGCTCGCAGCGACACTCATTGTATTCGAAGCGCGTTGGAGGACGACAAACTTGATATAACGATATTAGTAACAAAACGTTTATATCGTAGCGAAATAAAGCGCTAACAATTTAGAGACCGAGTAGCCGTTTTTCGGTTCATCTATTACTATACTGCGAGCTTCTTAGAAATTTTCAGGAGAGGCGCGATGCCCTCCTCTCTCTTCTCGAATGTATAACAATATATCCTCGACTGCATCTCGGATCTCATCGACTCGCGCTTGACAAATAAGACGAGAGATATATAAAAAAAAGAGGCTTTGAGCGGTTGATTTTATCGAGTCTATTTTTAGTAGTTTTGTTCAAAGACTAAAACCAAGACGAAGAGATGAGGGGATAAAAAAAAACGAAACTTATATAAAAGATTATATTACGCGATGTGTTGCGATCTGTAAGAACCGATAATGGATATTAACAACAAATCAAATAAAACGTTACGATGAATGTTAGCCCAACTAGAATTATTTTTCTTATTTTCATCCCTCTGCCTCTCTGTCGGTGCGACGCGATTTATGGCGCGCAGCGAGTAACGCCCGTAGGTGCATTTATCTCATACTGAGGCTGCGTTCGAATTTAAGCGCTGTACGTGTAAGCTTATATAAGCGCTGCTTGAAAGCAACAGCTGCTTGCTACTTGCAAGCAGCACTGTTGGCGATCTACCGTTACCGTTTGAGATAGTTTCTGCTTCCATGATTCCCACCATACTTCACTAGAGGCCGTATTCACAGATCATTTAGTCTAAAGGGTACGGAATCTTCATTAGTTTCTCCATTTCTTGATTTCTCCACAAGCGGATAAAAGTCTGTGAATAGTGAAAATGAGATACTTCGCCATCTACCTGGCCGTGTGCTTTATCAAGATTTTAAATGTGGTCGCGATTGAAGGTAACATAAACTTATTTTTAAATATAAGTCATATGTTTAAATATAATTTATAATGTGAACGCGCTTCTTTGTGAATTAGCGCATGCATCACAGCCATTATTTTAGCGATTATTAGATCTGCACAGTTCATGAAATTTTTATGACATACAGTCTCGCGCGATATCGCACATGTTCAAGGACAATATTAATCACACTCGAACCGCGTGATACGCTAAAGTTTTAAAACGATAATCAATCAACGTGCATATAATGATAAACGCGTATACATTCTTGCATTTGAGAAAGAAATTTCTAGCACGTCTCCGATTTCTCCTCCATTTTGCAAAAGTGCGAGACTTGTTTTCCGGTAGATTAACGTTTATTTTTAACTCGTTACCAAATCATGCATGAGCAAATATATGTATCTGTCGAAGAAGGAAGGCGATTGAGCGTATCGCTTCTGACGCAGACAGCCGGCACTGGCATCAGTTGGCGAACAAAGAACTGGCGGAATCTCTTTCGTATCGTTGGAACGTAAAACGAGCGAAAAACGTAATTCTCTTTGTCGGAGATGGGATGAGCCCGGACACCATAACGGCCAGCAGAATTTATCGCGGTGGTGAGACCAGTCGACTCGCCTGGGAGCATTTTCCCCATATCGGGCTACTGAAGGTCTCGATGGAATTTTCTCATTAGACGTGACTCGTACTTTAATTAATATATTTTTAAGTACAAGATCCTCGTGTTCGAATGTATCTTTTGCTGATAATGTAGACTTACACAACGGACGAACAAGTCCCCGACTCGGCTTGCACCGCCACCGCTCTGTTCGGGGGAGTCAAGACGAATTACGAAGTAGTAGGGCTAGACGCAAACGTACAATTGGGGGATTGCGAGGCAAGCTTGAATGGGAGTTATCACGTAAATTCATTCATAGCGTGGGCCCAAGCAGCTGATAAAGCCACAGGTCGGGCTCGATAACAATCTCACTTTAGAAAGCCTAAACAATTATCTGCACAACATATATATATATATATATATTATTATATAAATGATTTAAAATATTTTTTCCTTTATTAACTTTTTTATCATTAATTTGTATACAAATATGCATGTGCTAAAACTGTTACGTGTTAATTGATAATTTTCTTAAAAAGTTCAAGACCAAGATAAAACCTGTTTTATAATTATACTTATATATAAATAAATTTATATTTTTTGTGAAGCATAATGTAATTACTAATTAACATACAGGTTTCGTAACAAATATCAGAGATTACTCATGCGACTCCGGTGCCGCTTTATATTTAATTTGTATAAAAATATGTATATATGCTAAAACTGTTATGTGTCAATTGCAAATTTTAAGGCAAAGATAAAACCTTCTGTTTTATAATTATAACTATATATAAATAAGTTTATATTTTTCGTGAAGCATAATGTAATTACTAATTAATATATAGGTTTCGTAACGAATACCAGAGTCACTCATGCGACTCCGGCGCCGCTTTATGCGCACTGCGCGAATCGCAAATGGGAGTGCGAAGCCACAATGCCTAAAAACGCTACTGGCTGCAAAGATATCGCCAGGCAATTAGTGGAGGACGAGCCGGGGAAAAACATTCGAGTAAATAGGGAGCACCCGCGCTTTGTTGCACTACGAGATGAGCAATGAATGACGCGTTTACTTTCTTGCAGGTAATAATGGGTGGTGGCAGACAAGTGTTGAAATCCAATGTGACCGCGGGCGAATTCGATCCGATAGATACGTGGGCTTGCTACAGTCAAGACGGCCGCGATCTCATCGATAAGTGGACAAAAGACAAGTCCAGTAGAAACTTGGCTCACAAAGTCGTGCAAAACAATGAGGAATTATCCCGGGTCGATGTCGACAGCGTAGATTATCTGCTCGGTATCTTCGCCAACGGTCACATCGAGATGGACTGGGATCGTGAGCGCGGCCCGAAGGGACAGCCGAGCTTGGAAGAAATGACCGTGACGGCTTTACGAATTTTGCAAAAATCCAAACAGGGATATTTTTTAATGGTACGATTACGATCCCGCGGGCAATGTTGCGAGAATGAGATCATGCCTTTTCCAACCTGCTTTTTCCAGGTCGAAGGCGGCCTGATCGACTACGGTCATCATCGCGGTCACGCCGCTCAAGCACTGCTGGAAACCGTTCGACTTTCGGACGCCGTTAACGCCACTCTCGGAATGATCGACCCCGACAACACCCTCGTGATAGTCACGAGCGATCACACGCAGTCGATGAGCTTCACCGGGTACAATCCTCGAGGTTCATCCATTCTGGGTAAGATCTAAACGTGATACGAAATTTCCTCGGATCGTTCATTCTCACGTGAGAATATTTCAGGAGTCGCTCAGAAAAAATCTAAATACGACGGGCTGCCCTACACGACGTTATCCTACAGCACGGGTGGACCGAACAATATCGCTTACGCCGCGAAGAATAACGGTCAAGTCACGAGAATCGATCCGTCCAAATCGAACACCAACGCTTTTACTTATAGTCAGCAAGCTGCAATCATATCGAACGAGGCTCATCACGGTGGTGGAGACGTGGCCGTGTACGCTATAGGTACGTCAACAGTATCTAATTAGTTATTGCGAAGGTTGCAGTTAAAAGGCTTCGGGCTCGGAAGCAATTGTCTCCCCGATCGACTTAGAAATTTGCGGAAAGAATAATCGTCGTGAATCCACACGGCGAGTCCACTTAAATATATCTCGACTTTATTTTGCAGGACCGCACGCGCATCTCTTCCACAGCGTGCACGAGCAGAACTACGTGGCGCATGTCATCGCGTACGCCGCGAGTATCGGCGAGTACTCTAACAGCGCGGGAATATCGCATTATGTTCCGGACGCAATTGTCTTATTTGGCAGCCTAATCTCGTTAGCTCTAATCGTGAACAAATAAATCTGCAGAAACCAACAGAAGTATTATCAGGTTTTTTTTTATTTTCCGTAGAAAACAATATCGATACGCACGATCGGTAAAGGTGTATTTTTAGAAATCCGCATCTCTACGCATAAAATATTTAACTCTTATCGTGTAATTAAGTGGTATTGCAAGTGCCCGCGAGATATCACTTGTACCCACCACCATCACAGATGAGACTAACTTTCAATGGACGCATCGAAGGCTTTGTATCTTCCGTTTTTCTTCTTCTTGTCGCAAGACAGAGAACAATTTTACAAACCCATCTTTCGTTATATATATATATAAATATATGTATATATACATATATCATTATTCGCACATTTATTTACAAATATATACGTTAAAAATAATTCTCAGTCTTATGCTGCAGAGGACGAAGGCGCTCGCAATACTTCCTTCATGAAGTCGAAGAATGCGAGCGGTCCTCCGAAGATTACGCTTGAGAACAATCAAGATTATGTTTCCGCTTAAAACACATCATTGCATATTTTTTTATACGTCATAGCTTATAAAAAAATGTCTCCTTCGAAATATACACGTCTACGCCCTGCTTAACAGTTTTTAACAACGTACAAAAAAAAGAGGAGGAATAACATATATGAAACTGACAATCGGAAACGTTAAGAACGTGAAAAAAAAAAGGGCTAATGCATCAAGATGCTGAAGAGGCTGTTTTACGGGGGTTTTATCAACGCGAACGTCTTAACATATATTAATGTCTTGTCGATTGTGCACAAAAGGTAAAATGTTTGGTACCAACGTGTAACACGACGAACACGCAGACTTCGAGACACCGAGGAGTCTTCTCTCCTGTTCTTCCTTGTCTTCGGACGACGAAGCGACAGCTGAGGAACACAGTGAGACGGAGGATCACTGTACCTTCATCCTTTTGCAATTCTTGACGCCGTGCAGCACAGCGCTGTTACACTGGTGTAACAGTATTTTGAGCGCGATACCGCCGAGGAAGAGCATCGAGGTGATCAGGAAGATGAAACCCGGGGTGTACTTGCCGACGATTGTCAGGCCGCACAAAGTTATCATCTGGAAGACGAGCAGCAGCGGCACGAGGTACACCGCCGCGGTGAGGTAGCGCGAGTGCTCGCGTTTCGGCTTTTTAAACCTGTTGAACCTCGCGGCGGGTTTAGCGAGCTCGTCGCTCGTCTCTGCGGTCGCTTTTTGCGCGACAGCCGGTTTCTTGACATGAATCTCGCGCAGTACGGATTGACGCAAATTCTCGTACGTGATCAGGAGCCTGATTGTGATCTCCTGGAGGAAGTGGCTGAGGTAGACGTGCATCTTGCGCGCCAACGGATGCGACTTGGAATTGTCGAAGGAGTAGAGGAGATACGGCAGCAGGTTGAGATTTTGGCAGCAATGGCGAATCTTCTGCATTGATGCGTGTCGGAAGAGCATCGGCGGCCCGCTGTAGTTTCCGTCTGTCGTCGGGAGAGAGAGAAGAAACACTTTTAATCAGCACGAACGGCATTACGTAGCTACTATCATTCCGTGAGTCCCGAAAACAGCTTTATTACATGATATTCCAACTACATATGTAATTTTTGCGATAAGAGCGGAACCGCCCGAGATATTATTTGGTCAAACATATTTTTCATTAAAAAAAAAACATCTAACGTCTTTATAGTTATTCGATTTGCAGACGTTTCTGCATCTTTCTACGAAGAAAGGGCCGTGAAAAGGATAAAGAACGTAAACGTTTAATTACCCTTAAACATGTCGGACACTCGTCTAACGAGAGTTGGTTTCCTCTTTAGGCCGTCACTCTGCTCCATGATCTCCGACATCTGCGACATTTTAGCACGATGTTCAGGAGAATGCAATGGTCTTATCCGTAATCGGAGACCGATGCTGCCTGATTTATCTTCGTGTAAAGTTCTCTTCCCTTAGGAAATATACGCGAATATTACCTGAAAAAGATAAGCGCGATTAGTGACGGCTATATAAGCGTATCTAAAACAGAAATGTGAAAAGGAATGGATAACCGAATTTCTTCAAGACAATACTAATGTCCACTAATGTAGATTAACTTTAATCACGGTTCAACTTATTTTTTATCTTTTTCCAGTTCTAAGAATTAGAAAAAGATAAAGAGTAAATTAAACCGAGCTTAAAGTTTTACCTTGCTAGAAATAAGCCTGAGTCAAATAAAAGTAAACTGATGGGAAAAATCCTAACCGATCGTCTTTGGCGACGACAACGAGAATTTTTGGTGGAGATCACCAGTGAGCGTTTCGGCCAGTACTAAAAGATTTTCGTCATTCGTGCTGTCGAAGTTGTGTGGTTAAAAAAAAGGCGTCACGATCCGATAGCCTGTCGACCCGAGATTAATTCCTCAGTCGCAAAAATTTTGCGTGGCTTAGCAATCATGAGAAATATGCATGTACAGTGTTTGTTTGATTAAAAAAAAACTTTTTTTTCTCTCAAAACTGTTCGATGAACTGTTTTTAAAGCCTTTAACCCCGGGACTGCATTTTACGCCGGAAACTTGTAATTATTGACTGTTAAATATTAATATTTTAAACTTTATCGAAATTTACATATTTAAATTATTTATTATAAAATGTAAACTGTAAATAATAAAATGTAAGTAATAATAAAGTGTAACTGTAAGTAATAAAATGTAAAAATGTAAAATGTATATTACAGATGATTTAATATAATTATTGAAATTAAGTTTATTAAATTGCAAAAGTATTATCTTTATATTTTTCAGTATTGGTCGCTTAGAAAACATTTAGAAAAGAATTTTTTATAATTTGTCTCTGGCAACCGAGTTCTGCCGTAACTGCATATATTTACACTATCATGAAGTAAAAGAAAGTTAATTCGTGCGCAGAACATTCTCATTGTTGGCTAACAAAGTGGATTAGAAGCGCCGTAAGGTTAGATAATTTAATCGGACAGACTATCGGGATTCACTATACATTGCATTTTTTTCCATATAAATAGATCATTTTACGAAACTAAAAATCTGGTTATAAATGGCTTATACCATGTTAATAAATAAAATTAAATGTTATTTAAACGGTAGTAAGTAAATATTGTTCGTTAAAAAGCGAATAAATTAAACAATAATAAATGGATTGATAACACAAAATGGATTGAATAATACAATAATAAGCGAAGGATTGCCTTTTTTTATCAACGCAGATCTTGGTGTCTAATATTTTTTGTGTGAATTTTGTATAATTTCCAATTGCAATTGTCGGTCTTAAAACACAAATAAACTAAATTATAAATATTTTATGAATTAAAAAAATAATAATAAAAAAACACATATATACAGTGTTTATAAATAACAAAATTTAAATTTGAAAACGCAAAATTAATCAGTCATGTAAATCATTCTTTCTAAAGCTAATAATTTGAATAATAATTAGAATAATTTTTTAGATCTGCATATGTATAAGTAATATTTTTTATACCGCATTAGTAAATTAAATTATGTAAATTATAAATTAAATTATGTAAATCTTTCTAAAGCTAATAATTTGAATAATAATTAGGATAATTTTTTAGATCTGCATGTGTATAAGTAATATTTTTTATACCGCATTATTAAATTAATTATTAATGTATTGCAAATAAGTTATTATATAAGTGTCAAGCATATACTACGTTTCTGAATTAAAGATCAGGACATAATATAAAGAAATGTTTACCCGCAATGCATTTCTATTGTAGAACACGGTTTTGATCGACCTCATTTAAATTACCGCTGATTGGAACATTTTAAATTAAATTAAATAGAGTGAAAATTCTATCACGAAGATCCCTATACTTCTTATAAATATTTTTAGAAGTTTGTATAATTTGGCATAGCGCTCACCTTGGTGTCAGCAGCGTAATGGATGATTCGGCGTCTGTTTCCCAGCCACCAGATAGAATTTCACCTGCCTCGTGTGAACGCGATCTCGCAGAAAGAGCCGAGAGCTAACTGTACTTCTTGTAGAGATTGAAAACTATAGGAAATTCGCGAAATATGCCCATCCTTCGCGTCGCCTCGCCAAACGATCCGCTCGCGATCAATAATACAACACGCGGGAGTGGAGGAGCTGCTGGTGCTGCTGGGTGGAGTGTGTCGCATCCCGATGCTCGCTGGACTACTAAACCGGCTTCGGTTGTGCTGGCTAACAACTACCAGCCGTTTGGCCACCTCTACCGACTCCGAACTCGTGACATCACGATCAGCTACTCGGAGCATGCCATGCCGGCGTGCTCCGGCAGCCAGTCCGAAACGGCGACTTCCGTCGGAGCCAACGTCGGATTAGACGGCGGCATCAGCTCGATGGATCGAGATGTATTTCCCATATGAATAGCGAGAAAAGGAAAAAGGTCATCGACGCGAGGAAATGCGTGCGCGGCCGACGAGCCTTTCGACACGCACGCATTCGTTCCTCGCCCTCGGTGTTGCCGGCCCAAAGCCTAACTTGATTGATGCCCGCATGGAATTATTGATGGAATTATACTTTTATGCGGCGGAAACGTAGAGAAGTTTGCGTCACGACGATGACTTCAATAAATTTTTATTCTGCAATTGAAAGAGATTGGCGAGGCGTAATTTTTTCCACTCCGTCAAAAAGTTTATTAAGGTTTTTCCTGGTCTATTTTAAATAAATAAAATAAAATTAAAATTTCTAAATTGTTCCGCATTGTTAAATCTATAGTGTCAAATTTAAACTTATTTAAATCGTCGCAGTTCCTGCTTAATAAATAGTTATTTTTAACTAAAACAATGGAGTTGAATAATTTAAAAGTTCAAATTTAATCCAAATTTAAATTAAATATATTCCATTGTTTTAGTTAAAAATAACTATTAAGTAGAAGCAATGATGACTTAAATAGGATTAAAGTTGACATATAGATTCAATAGTGCGCGAGATTTCATCAGCTATTTTGGAGTCATGTTTATTTGTTTCATAGAAATATAGACGCAATGCATATGTCCTCTAAATATTCTAAATTTAACAACAGTGAAGTGAGATTCTTCTATGAAAGGAACGAGAGACTCCAAGAGAAAACATAGTTAAACAGAAACTAATAGCCTTGGATTTTGCGCAATGCTAAAATATTGCATCATAATTAACTAAAACCTGTTTTAAAGGGAAATTAAATATAAAACAAATGCATACTGAAAAGATGTTTTGAATGACGAATACTCTCTTATTTTAACAAGATGTTATTTTTATTACTCTTTTCGATGACTTTTATTGCTTTTTCATGTAAAGCAAATACCTGAAACTAAACAGGTCTCGAAAACCTGTCCCGAAACGAAAACACAGGCGTAAAGCATAATTGCTAAGATCGAAGACCCTACAGAGAAGGGAGATTCTTCCGAAGGGCCATCGATAGCGGTTTCGTTCGCTGAGGCATGCACGTGGAGGATGCGTGATTGCATTTTGTAAACAGAAAAAATAACGAGAAAAGACAATTCTCTATTCAATTTCGCTAAGTATGCCCCACGATAATGATATCGTTAATAAACAGAATTTCGTCAGTTAAATTGAAGTGCCGATTTCCCGGCAAAAAAAGGAATACGTGTCATTTCATTGACCTCGCTTTTTTCAAGGCTATCCCGACACGCGTCGAGCGTGACGCGGCTGCGTGTTCTCCAATGACTGTTTCGATGTTGGGATCCCCAGACTACTGTTTTACAATGTAGACAAAACAATGTCTCGGTAATGATATCTTATAAATACGGATGTAATTTTTTTCTGTCATAATTCAGTTCGCAGACTTCTGAAGCGTCCCACCAGAACCGACGATGGAAAGTTTCCGACTAATCTAATTTCGATAAAAGCAATTTTGCTCATATATTTTATTCAACGTCGCGTTTACGTAAACATAGTTACAGTACTGCATAGCGTATCTTTTTAATATATTATATATACATATACATAAACGCGGTTGTCGCGCCGATAAGCAAAATTTAAAAGAAATTTAATGCTAAAACTGATTAAAGTATTATACGAAACGGCGCAAAAAAAAGCACGTGTACGTAACGTGTCTGCAGTTTATTCGTGGACTTGTAACTCATTAAAAATTCCGTTAACAATGTTTGAAAAACAACTATATTTGTTTGATTAAAAAAGTCAATTAATAAATAATCGTCTGCATCTTTCTATAGATTCATTAAGTTGATGTTATCCATGTTTTACAGATTTCAATTGTGCACCTGTCACCTGTGCGCTACAAATATGTGCATGAGCGAAAACATTCAAAATATTTTTCATGTCTGATACTGCAGTTATATTCGTGTGGCGCAGTTATTAACTGTCTGACGCATCGAATATTTCAGCCTCAAAAATATACACATCTTACTGGCGGCAGTTTATCATCAGATACCGAAATATACATACATATGCTTCCTGTTCCAAAAACATAGTAAACATTATATTGAAGATAAACCGAGTCTGCCTGAAATATTGAAAAATCCTTAAAAATTGTAAGATTGCATTAATAAAGTCCAGTTTTCTTCATAATTTCTTCTTATTAAACAAATAAACAACACGATATTTAAAATCGAAATGATAATTTAGAAAGTTCTATATTCTATGATTTCTATAATTTTTAAAATTCTATATTTTTGTAAAAAAAATTTGTTATATTATAAATATTTTTCCACAATTTTTTCTTCATCGACGTCAAGCTGCTTTTTGCCTGTAGTGAACTCCCCCTCTCTCTCCCTCCCCCACTTTACACTGCTCTATTTCAGTACTCGTAATTTTCCTCTTTTTTTCATCGCTTGTACTCGCGCGTGTCTGTTCTCAATTACTACACAATATATGCAAAAAGCAATCGGCGAATCTATGTTGCAAATGCAAATGCAAAAAGAGGAAATTTACGCATCATGCAAAAAGATTCACCGATGTACTCTATGTGTCAAATTAAAATCAAATTAAATCGCGATTGTTGAGAATTGTTATCTGGTCGCACGTGCGCAGCACGTGAAAGCAAATACAACTAACATTCTCATTGGCGTTGAGAAAACCGAGAATGATGTAATCCTAAGTAAGATCAACTACATTTCAAAAAGGTGACCGACAAAACAACAATTTTATCATAGCTACTAAATTTTGCAAATCAATATCTCGTGTTTATCACGTGTCAGTAGTGAATGCAATTCAAAATTTTTATCAGGTTAAAAGAATAGAGATAATCTGTCAGTCGTTTAATCTGCTCTGCGTTAGAAATCATTAAAAATTCTTTATGTAGTTTTTCATGATTGTTGATAAATTGAATAAAATTTCTGTAGAAGTTATTGGTTGTTACATTTGTGATATATATAGACAAATTTTTACATTTCATTAAATTCAAGATCGAAACAAGTTGAACTTTCAGGCTATTTTCTTCTCTCTTTTACGTTGGGAATTGTGACACAGCCGAACTACGGAGCCACGCTTGCAACATGTGCAGACAGCCATGTGTAGACAAATCCATTGACCATCGTCTTCACGAAGTGATCACGTGTTTGGGAAATTCTTATCCGCAATGCGTGCTTGACGGAATTTCTTGTGTAACTGCGTCGACAATATATTCTTTTCATTTATAATTCTAGGTTCATTTTGTGAAGCCTACCGAAATCTTTTTTGAAGAATGTTATTTTTAAAATTTTCCAATTTGAAATAATTCAACAAATATGCGTAACTGGTTTTTTTTGTTTTATATAATGATAACTATAAGTCGATTAAATCTTATTTGACTTCGATTCATTAAAAAATACATTAAAACACACAGATGGTTCTGTTTTGAAAGATTGTTATAAAAATTTAAAATTGTTTATGAAAAGATAAATAGTGTTTGGCTCTTTTTATATCTTTATTAAAAAAAAAAAAAACGTTCTCTCAAGTCATAATATTTTCAATCATTCTTGGTTAAAAATTATATTACATATCAATGTTAATTAATTCGACTTATAGATAATTGACAAATAACAAATTTAATTGCAGTACGACCTAATCACACAATCATCTTTTTTGAGTCATCGCGTTTGACTGTTTTGCGCAGCCAAAATCAATTATCCTGATTTTACCGGTTAACAGCAAAATATTTAATTCAAAGCCACAATACATTTCTTGTTTAATAAAATAAAATATGCGATAAATTAAATTAATTCTCGATTTCTTTGACATAAAAATCTAAGTGAATTGCGATCGTGTGATATTATGTGAAATAAAAAATGGAAAATCACATCGCTGCCTTCGTAAACCGAGAAATTGATACCGAATTAATCATAGCAAATGTATGCCATAATACATGTTTATATATTCATCCAACTTTCCCTTTTTGTCTATTGCTCTCGCTTTTACTCACTGTATCGCTTCCACTTCGCCGATCATTTCCCACTATCGCACGTTTGATTGACGCTAACGGTCACGATGGGAGTGAATGGTGTTTAAACGAGCAGAATACACCGCCACGGACGTAGTTAGAAAATTGCAAACCAGTTGGTTGACTTTATTAAAGTTGACTTTGAATGACTTCTGTAAAGTTATGTAAATCATTGTTAAATTTTAACAATTTATAATCTTTTACGTGGAATCGTAATCTTACCAAAAATTCAAAAATGACTAGAACAGTGTTTAAAATATCAAATAAATATATTAAAAATTAATTAAGTAATAAATAAATTAATAATAATTTATTATATATTGTTAATTATGAGAACACCTGAATGAAATGAAAAAAGAAATCTGCGTCATGTATATATGTATACAAAAATTTGACATTCATTTCCTTTTTTAATGTCTTGCCTTGATCTTTAGATTTTAATTGGTAATTTAACATTAGTCTATAATCTGTGATTAAGCCTGTAATATGTAATAAAAGGAATAAATTAACTATGTCCTTGAAATTTATGTTTGATCAGATTTTAACGGATGCAAGTTTTTGCTATCTCAAGCATATTAATTAAACGGTGTCGTAATTATTTCGTTCAAAACGTTAAACAAGATTAAAAAATTGAAGCAACTCGCTCAAAATTTATCGAAAAGTTTTTGCGCACTTACATTATTTTCTCTGAATTGTGTACACGAGTTTTTTTTGCATATCTTTTCCAAATAGGTATGCGCGACACAATTGTATAAATATAATCAATCGCGTTTGA